TGTGCACACTAACCTACCAGATGTGGATGATAATCCGAACACTATTCCATTTATATATCAATGATTAGTACAATGCCAATATTTTTTCCAAATAATGGCATAAAATCAAGCGAGCAGCATGTATCGTACAAACAATGTACGTCTGTATGTACTTCAAAACAGGTTTGCAATCATATGCGTACTTACCATACTACTGATACGATAATTATGACTAACGCTCATGAAATTGGTAGGAAGTGCACATGTAAGCGAAGTGCATTACCGCACCGCCTGCACGTCCCACTGCATGCGTAAATACACCAGGGGGGCGTCGTATGTGACGTCTTACGAGCAAAGCGGTTACTTAGATGCGCATTTTCATTTTGAGTCGTATAACCCATGCATCGTGGGTAACTGACACCAAAGATTTGAATGCATTTTAATGCCATAATGCGTGCCTTTCGGGATAATTTCGACTGGCAGAGATACGCTGATCTAGTATTTGTCTAGTAGTTTACAAATCAAAGTTTTTTAAAGAAATGACTGGACATGAGCCCCACCAGACAATAAGTATGCTACCGGTATTGGTTACAATGGACAGGTCTACATGCCTGTGATGTTTGCATAGCCCAAACTTATTTATGCCAAATCACCTTGTCTCTGAGACCGGCTTCGGGAAAGGCGAATTTGCCGTTTTCGGGCGATCTCTGCCGCAGCTATAACTCGGTAAATTTTCAGGTCAATCAGTGAGTTGAAGCTGGTTTATTCGCAGTTACCGCACGGTTGGTTTCACGTGGTCAACTGTTCTGGCTATTAAGATCCGACATCACTGCTTCAAAAACCTCCTAAAATAATGGGACCCATGGCTTGCGAGTGCATGTTTTCAGCACACATCAACCACACTTTTGCCGGTACAGATAACCGTCTTACACTCAATAAGTATCATGTTGATGCAACGCTGGGTCATCAAAATCGGGATCCAGTTCCGAGCCGTGTTTTTACGACTGGAAAATTTTACATTTTCAATGTTTAGCGAACGGAGCAGCTGAAATTGTGGCAATATAGCAATCTTTCACAGAAAACACGTCTGAACAGATGGTATGCAAATGTCCGGCAATTTATACGGCACGATGTTTACAGAACTGCGCTTCTTTCGCCACAGATTCGGCAGATGCGCCAGGATCAGTGGTTGGAAATAAATTAGTTTCTAGAAAGTTCGGCAACCGGCCTGGTCACGCGTTTCAGGCTTATACTGCTCTCATAAATTCTAAATCCATAAATTATAAGTCATAAAGTATAAATCTAGACTTGGCAGAGTGTTTAAAGAATCATGAGGCAATATGACATTGCGCGAAAAGGGTGGAAGGGGAGCAAATGTGGTGACCGGAAGCTATGCGTACCTATATTCGTACTTTGCATCACTTTATGCTAACTAAGTCCAGGATGAACCCTTCAATTTAAATGGAATTTGAAACTTGACTGTGCCCGGGCGACAGTGAGAAGTTGGTTTCTCCCCACAGTGTGTCGAGCAGAGGTCAAAAGCAAACGTTTGCAGTAGCACGAAATGTTTAGTAACTTTGCATCAATCTATAAGACATGCTTGTTCTAAGTGTGAAACTGTGGTCTACCAAGATCAGCGACCTAGAGCAGATCAAAAAGGTTAAACTCTAAAAAACTTAAACCACAAATCACTTTGTGGGTCATTGACGATCTTTCAGGTTTTCTATTGCAATATAATATGATAAGGCCGACAGTTTGCGTTTCAGACTTTTGGGGAGAAGGTTAGGTCAGTGACCTGCATTCGGGTCAGTTTGTGCTATTTTTCATTAAAAATGCAACTGTGTCCGTATTTTTGTGTAGTTTTGATGTTTGCACATGAGAAAAAGACTATTTGCATACATGCAGAGCCATCACATGACTGCGGAGCAAATGACCTTGGCCTAGACCATGACATACTTCTTTGGGTACCTTCTGTAAAACACAGACTAAGCTCAAACTGGGCGGTTTCGTGGGTAGTTTTGGACGCGGAATTTGAATACTTGGCAGAAAACATGTTGTGATATCATTAAAATGCATAATAAGGGCACCATGGGTCACGTTAGGACATGCAAGGCCAATTATCTATGTTGTCTATATTGTCAGTAGCGAAGAGTCTAGATAAGCAATTGCGACGCGTGTAGCTACTCACTTATTGGGTTTGTGAAGCTGGTGATTAACTCCATGTAACAACGTGCTTGTTCTTAGTTTGTTACAAATGCATTGTCAAGCTCGGAAGGTCAAGCCGTTGTCTACGTGCATAATTCAGACAACTGCCATGCGATATTGAGTACCTGTAGATGTACGACACATTGTTTCTGACCACAGAAAAGCATTGTACTGATCACATAGACCCGGCTAGCACGGCCATTTTTGCATTTGAGTGGTTTATAAATTTTACTTAAGTTGATTTCAGGTGACCTCTAGAGCAGCCTAAAATGACATTTCTGTGCCTCACTGCTTTTGTCCCACAGCTGCACCAACTAAAATAAACTTAGAAGAATTGTGAAAAGAATCGGTCTTGTGGGCTACCAGCAAACCAATTTTGACGGTGGCCTGACCTGACCTGACACTTGTGGGGGAACAGAAATAGTCGAAATGGACCTCCCATAGTCCTAAAGCCTTCCGTGCAGTCACTATCTGTCCTGACGTGATAGCATAGGCTTTAACTGCTCCATCAGAACGACTCTTTTTTCAATGTCGTGACCTCTGGTGACCTCACGTTTCATTCAAGGAAAAATTGGTGTTTATTCTTTATAATGTGACGAGACCTTCACAACGATATATCTGTGTTCCCCATACGGCGTCTGGAATTTGGAGATCTCACGAGAGAAGTCAACGCTCCCCTCTTCCCACCACCCTGGCAATTAAGGGGTATTTTTAGCTGACGGTTAGAAGGAGCGTTAACACTTCTGCATGCGGCAAAGAATATAAGGGAACAAACACATCTCAAGGCGCCGGACATCACCAATAATGCTTGGCATTCATTTCCGAACCCTCAAACATTTAACTGTGGCAACTGTAACTGACCTGTGGCATCCATTTCTGGAAACCGCATCCGCGCTTGGGATCGCTGCTGGAGCTCTGGAGGCTGGAGCCGTGCTTGAAACCGCTGCTAGAGCTCCGGAAGCTGGAGCCGCGCTTGGTACCGCCGCTAGAGCTCTGGAAGCTGGAGCCGCGCTTGGTACTGCTGCTGAGCTCCGGAAGCTGGAGCCGCGCTTGGGATCGCAGCTAGAGCTCTGGTAATCTGAGCCAAGCTGGGGACCACGGATAGAGATCTTGAGGCAGGAGCGGGTCCGTAGCCCGTAGACCGCCCATAGACGACACCTTACGTCGTTTCGGCTAGGCAGATGCGTGGTATGCCATGATCAGCGGCCCGACCAGCGCTACCATATGTAGGTCAGATGCAACCAAATGGCATAGAAACTAGGCTGCACAGATTTCGTAAAAGTACGCTGAATATCCCGGAATATACCGCTGAAAAACCGGACGAGGCTGCGTGTGCCTTGCCGACGAGGGCTGAGGCTGAAACCAGATAATCCCAATGCTTTAATGCCGGATATCAGAAGCAGATGCACAAGAAGGCCATGCTGTGTTTCTTCTTCTTCTTCTTTTTCTTCGGGAGAGAGAGAGAGAGAGGGGGGGAGAGAGAGAGAGAGGGAGGGAGAGAGAGAGAGAGAGAGAGAGAGAGAGAGAGAGAGAGAGAGAGAGAGAGAGAGAGAGAGAGAGAGAGAGAGAGGGAGAGGGAGAGAGAAATATGTCTGGAGCATCAAAAACGATTCCAGGATCCCATAAACATAGACCCTTACGGGATCCTGAATCCACCCTTGGAATTCAGGCACATATCTGGAGAGAGGAAAAAGATGGTGAGGGAGAGAACGAGCTCATGGTGTATATAGGTGGCTTGTGTTAACTTCACATCAACAATGTATGCGTTCTCATTTGGCTAAAAGCTCGCATGGCGAGGTTATTGTATGGTTTGTGCTCCTGGATCCATTACTGTAATGGTGTTGCCCAAGGAGGGAGGGGCAACACGCATATGCTACATTAATGATGCTGATTGCTATTTGTCTCTCAATGGTTGTGGAAACAGGCCAATATTTACGTGAAACTATGTTATCGGCCTGCTTCATAAACAATTTCGAATCATGGCTTGTAGCAATACCATTAACATGTGGGTACCTGAAGTATGTGCGGAGCGTTCCCACCCTCAACAAAGTCGCGATGCAAAAATATGTGGGTGCATTAGCGCATACAGCATGACAAATTTACGGCCTTGCTGTGCATTTCGTCGGATTAAGACCATCAACATTGTGGTCATCTCGCTCCACACGTACTTCTTAGACAGATACCGCCCTACGAAGCACTAAGGCGAAGTGAAGCGCTGTGCCTGTTGTGGTGCGGTTGCACCACCTCTCATGGTTGACCTCTGTGTCCAATACCGTGGTCAGCGTTAGCACCGAACCGACGGTCGTTGTAGTGTGACCGCGTTTGCGTCGTGATCCATCGTGGCGGTGGTGACCAATGGCCCGTATTGTCGCGTCCCATGGACCGCGTCGTGACCGTGACCGTGACCGTGACCGTGACACCGTGATCGTGACCGTCGGAAGCTGATGCGCCTTCGTGGTTGTGATGCCACGGCTGGCGGTCCATTTGTGCTGTTGGTGCTGGTGCTTCTCTGTTGCTACCCGTCGGCCATTCAGCTTCCGTGGCCGATACTACCGTGCCTGCCGAGATCAGCGGCCGCGGCCCAGACCAACAGGTCGACAACCGCGGACCCTGACCCTCGCAGTCCCTCCGCGTACGCGTCACCTGACCCCCGCGACCCCTCCGCAGACGCACCACCTGACCCCCGCGACCCCTCCGCAGACACTTCACCTGCGTCGACTCGGACAGCGCCCTTGTCCGCCGGCGTCCCGCCACGCGGCGACCGCTGCGGTGACGTCACGGCCACGTGGGCGCGCTGACCCGGCGGCGACCCCGGTACAGCTCAGCCGCCATGGGCTGCGGCCTCTGCCGGATGGAGCGCTGCCGGGGCGTGGACGGCGCGCAGCTGAAGCTCCGGCGCCTGGTCCTCTGCTACGACGAGCCGGACGCTAGCCCCGAGGCGCAGAAAATCGAGATTGGTGAGGCCTCTTGGTGTCCTGGCGGACATTCCTCTTGCAGTCCGCAATGAGACCGGAGTAGCTTGTGACTTGGCGGCACCGTCAGCGCGTTCGACTGGGCCTACCATTGCTCCCACTATCGATTCTTGCAGGGAGAATACGTTTCAATCGGTCTCCTGAATCATGCATTACGCCTGGTAATGCTTGTGTTGGAAATATGGCGTGCATAATACTTTAACCCGACACGACCTGGGTGTTCCCTGATCACAACCACCGGGGGGCTAAAAGCACCACCCGACAGTCTGTTAGACGAACTGTGAGCTGGTGTCAGATGACATTAGCTGGTGGCCTGCCGTGCGTTCTAGTCGTATTCTCACCTTCATTTGATTAGATTCATGACATGAAAAAGCACAAACCAGAAAGGAAAACTTCGATATGCTGCCTGTAAATGCAAAAACAGCCATACAGTGTTTCGCTGATGAATTAAGAACTACGTAACCTAAACGCAAATTGAACGTGTTCAGTATTCGGCGCGTGTAAAATGGATTTGCTGTTAGCTCCTGAACATTTTCTGGACCATTCTGAAACGGCTATAAAGTTACTCCAAAATCGCAAAGGGATGATGTTTTTCACCCATCCAGGTGATCATGGCAAAGCTGACAACCGTATTATGTCATTTAAGGGTGTGTTCCACATTTATCTTGTGTTTTGGACTGAAATAGCCTTCATGAGCATCATTCGTTGCAGTTCACAGCCCTATCCTTTGAAGACCTAAACCTATCTAGTTTCCGGGCTACAAGACCGGGGAGATGTACAGACGACAACCTGCAGAGTATTTCAAGGTCACTCAGGCATCCATGACGCCGTTTCAAGTCATTCAAATCCTGCCATTACATTGCCCATACGGCGATCAAGACCGAACAAAATATAATTGCAGAGTCGTTTATTCCTGGCGTTCGCGAGCACGCTTTCCGAATATAGCGGCTGTCAATCATCGTTGTGCAAGGTATTATGACGCAATCAAACACTGACGCATTGAGAAGACTTTTTTGCTAAATTGAGAAATAGTGTTACCCAGGGTTGTCTTTTCATCTTAAAAACATACCAATAGTTATAGGGAACCATATTTCATCATTTGCTTCGATATCTTCACATGTGGACAATTCCTTTTCACAAATGCTTCAAACGTCCATGCGGAAGAGACAACTTTTGGGTCTAATGCATTATTTTAAAGGTGGATGCAGTTGTCCTGCCATTACTGTCCGCAGCAAGTTTCCCAAATGCCTACCGGCGGCTGCGGTGTAAATAATTAGGCACAGGACAGGCAGCTGTTTTCACATTCATTCATGGCTACATCATGATGCCGCTGCTAGTGACCCTGGAGACTATGCGGAACACCTCAGCGTTGGTCTTACCGCCCAGGTCGCCTCCATCGGATTACATATTAAAGCAGTCATGTCGACGGGGCCGTCAGCGTCACGGACTCTCGCCGGCCCTCGTCACGAAAAGTCCAGCGGCACGTCACGACGAGCGGCGGGTCCGAACCCAGCCCTTCCGGCCGCGGATCCGCCGCCGCCGCTGCTGATCCAGCCGCCGCGCCGCTGCTGACCGTGTGTCGGTGCTGGCAGGTTTGCGCTCGGCGGTGCTGATTCAGCGCTGGTACCGGCGCTACCTGGCGCGCATGGAGCTGCAGCAGCGCTACACCTGGTCCATCTTCCAGTCGATCGAGTACGCCGGCGAGCTAGATCAGATGAAGGTGAGTCGGGGGAGGGGCAGGTCTGATGCCAGGTTAGACCGGGCGAGGATGGTGCTGGACGGCTCAGCTCTGGGGTAAACGGGGCCGGATGATGTCGCTCTGGGAGGCCCGTCCAGACCGATGTGATGGTAGTTCGCGGCTCCGGGGAGAATGGACATAACCTATGCTAGAATCGCTTAAGTCCCAGCAACCTTTTGTGCACTGTGCTGAAATAGATTGGCATTGAAACAGCTTGAAAGTGCGTGAAGTTACTCACGGAGCCCAGCAACTCTTGTGTGCCCCCAATACTTATGATATCCGGAATAGTGTGGGGCAGTTTGGACGGCTCGGCTATTCGGAGGCTACCGAGTTATGCATCTGCATTGATCCGATAGTTAAGCTGTTCATAGAGAGCCTTAACTTGCAATATTGAATTTGTACCTTCCAGTTACTGCCACTTGAATACCCGGTACAACACGTGTGCAGCACTTTTGCGATAGTATTCTTCCACCGCTGCGAGCCTGCACAGCGGCTGGGACCGACTTTGCTTTCCGAGCGCGTCGCACCTGTCGCCCCTGAGGCCTGATTGCAAGGGTCACGGCGTTTCGCAGCCTGGCCTTTGCATTCACGCCATTATTTAACCGATTTCCGGCCGCAGTCACGTGACGCACTAAACTATTCCGTCCGCCATATTGCATTCCGGCGGCCGCCGCGCCCTGAGCCGTCCTGCACGAGCCCCAGCGGCCACGTGGGGAGGGGGATGGGGTGAGGGGGTGAGGAGGGTGTTTCATGACCACAGCTCGGCCGGCCGGCACGGCGTGGCCCTAGCTGCGGCGCGTGCCCGTCGCCCATTGATTGTGCCCTGGCATAACCCAGGCAGCCTCGGGCCTGGCGGGAAGGTTACGGGTCGTGCGAGCCACACCAGCGGCAAGGTCACTAGTGGCGCGGGCCTCACGGGCTGGAGATCACGAGTCGCAAGGGGCCCACGGGCTGGGAGGTCACGAATCGCGCGGGCCTCACCAGTCGCAAGGTCTTACTGCAGATGGGGGTTCAACATAGACACCGAGCTCAGACGAGGTACTTTGGCTCACTCTGACGGATGAGCCCGGAGGATGTCGCTTTCTGACAATTGTAAATTTGTGACCGCGCTATAAAGACATTGCTGAGTCCTTGAGCGCGTGCTGGATGCAGACGGACACGAGCGCATGATGCTAGCTGGCGCCGCGCGCCTGCGCTCTGGCAGCGTCATGGTCAAGAGCGAAGCGAGTTAGGAGTGTGTGGCTTTCTATGGTTTTCACCGTTGATTAGATTAGGTGTGGAGGTGTGTTGGTCTACTCGGAAGAGTTTGCTCTGACAACCGCGATAAGATTGCCGTGCAAAGCGCGTACATCGGCCGGATGGCCTTGACCGCCATTCACGCGTCCTCTTCCTGGACAATCTGTCCATTTTACTACTTCCGCATGCCGAGCTGAAAGATACAGTCTAGTGTAGAGATAAAAGGTATCGAAAACGATAGATCTAACAGGCGATTTGTGTTACAAAACTTGCTTTCAATGAGTCAGTCAAGTTTGAAACATGTTGGAGATGCAGAGTTAAGTGGCTCACCAAACATTGGTGAGCAACGGTGAAAGCTGCTCAGTGCGCAAGCGAGGAGGAATATGGGTTGCATCGAGTGTGTTTCTATGTCTGTGTGTTTTGCCACCTCCACCGAGGGTCATCGAGTGCAGCATTATCGTGTATCTTCAATATGCATGCATTCAGTATAGTATCACATATTTTCCATCTGTTTTCAGTTGTACAACTTCTTTAACGCCCTATTGGAGCATCTGGAAGACGTCAAAGAGCCGAAGCCGGTGCTTCAGGAAATCCATACTGGTATGTCAGAAACTCAAATGAAAAACATGAAAGTGGATGAAAAGGGAATTTCTGACCTGGAACAGGATTGGGGAGTA